TAGTCTAAGGATTTTAGTGGTTCTTGTAGTTAACGATCAAATAAAGAATAATTGTTGAGTGCTCCTATCTGAGTGCTTTCCAGAGGTAGCTGGCACAGAATAAAATATTAAGCCATGTGGAGCAATGCTTGGTTGTTCCTGAATCCTCATTTTATGGATTTGTTTTTTTGTGTGTGAGAGAAAAGGAGAGGGCCTTAAATAGATCTAAGACACCATGAGCCTGGAGGTGGTACTGCGCACCTCCAGTCCTAGCACCCAGCACTCGGTGCGCATGAGGCTCACAAGCCTGGACTAAAGAACTAGACCCAGTCTCCAAAAGAAAAAAAATACCATCCAGTAAGTGGGCAAGATCTGTACTCTGAGTATACAGTGGTTTGCCCTTACTGCTTCCTAGCTAGAGCTCTTTCTCATGAAGACTGATGGTATCCCCTTTGGTCTAACTACTTTATTCTTAGAGAAAGATGGATAAGCTTTCAAAACAAAGCAGAAACTCTTCTAACCTAATCTCTGCTTAGTCATCACACAGAATTAGCCAATGCCCATTTCCCTATAAAATACAGTAGCAACATTGTTGGTGTGCTGAAGGTGTACATCTTTGTTAGGCTCTTTCCTGTATCACAGGTTGGACGTTTTGCTCACCAGGGAGTCCTTTCTTTCTTATTCCAGCCTATATCTGTCTATTGTAAAAAGAAAACTAAAACAACTAAGTTGTGCATCTTAGGCAGACATAGCAAAGAGCACTTAAATATTGTTTGATCCAGTTGTGGGGGAAATTTTTTACTATAAAATATTTTAAATTACTATGTAGTATTCAGATTATTTTGCAATGTCTATAAATAGTTTTGGTATGCCTCCAAGAAACCAAACCTGAAAACCACAGTTAATTCCTGGTAGGTGTACTTTATGTAAGAAAAAATAAATTTCAATCTGTGCAAAGGAAAGGTCTTTGACGTACATCAGTCATTGACAGAATTATACATTGTAGGTGTTAAATTAAAAGATAGTCTTTATAATGTGTAAGTGCAGCACAGATCCTGTATCATTATTATTGTCGTTCTTTACATTAACTGACTTCACCTGTCACTGTTGCACTTAATCACATGGAGGTAGGTCTTTTATTGCACTACAAATCAGAACTTTTCTATGGTGTGAGAACCTGAGTTTAATTCAAAAAAACTATAAAAAAATATTTTAAGCCATGTGTGGTGGTACATACTTGTAATCCCAACAGGTGGATCCCTAGGGTTCTCCAGAATTCTGTAGGAATGGTTAGCTCTTTGCTAATCCCTTTTGAAATAAACATAAGATTGGATTAGAAGTAATTTAAATTACAAAATTAAAATAAAAAATAGAAAATAGTAGGGAACCTTAATTGTCGCATTAAAGCATTTGATTACTTCATGTGTTTAATCATCCTTGTTTTGATGTTTTGTTTTAATTCATTATTATTGTTATTCTTTGTGTATGCGCCTATATTGTGTGTGTGCCTATGACATGTTTCCGGTCATGCATGTGCCACAGCATGCATGTGGAGGTCAGAGGACAGTTTTCGGTGGTCAGACCTCATCTTCCGCCTTGTTAACACAGGTTTTCCCGTTTTTGCTGCGTAGCTCTGTGTATCAGGCATTCCTTCTGTCTCTGCTTCCCATCTCACTGGGAGGAGCTCGGGTTACAGATGTGAGCCAGCACATCCAGCTTTTATTTTGGCATGAATTTCAGAGATTCAATTGAGCCATCTTACCTTTATTTTGTTTTTGTGGCAGAGTCATTATGTAGCCCAGGCTAGCATCCAGGTCAACAATCCTGCTCTCATCCTCCTGAATACTGGGATTACTGGTATGTGTCATCATGCCTGGCAATCATTTTTAAATGTCCAGTCACCTTGGTGTTTTTATATCAATGAATGCTTTAATTTGAAATGAAAATTAATAGTTACCTAGTCAATTAAGTTTCATAAAATAAGTATACTGTTAAGCCTGGTATGGTGGTGCAGGCCTCTAATCCCAGCACTCAGGAAGCAGAGGCAGGTGGATCTCTGTGAGTTCGAAGCCAGCTGGTCTACATAGCGAGTTCCAGGCCTGCTGTAGCTATAGAGAGACCCTTTTCTAAAAAATTAATTAATTAAGTACCACTATTAAATATTTTCCCAGTTTTATTGAAGAATTTAAAAATAAAAGTCATAAATTCAAGATATAAAACATTGGTTTGGTTTGGTTTGGTTTGGTTTTTTTGGTCTTTCTGAGACAGGGTCTCCCTGTAGCCCCAGCTGTCCTGGAACTCACTATGTAGACCAGGCTTGCCTTGAACTCACAGATAATCTGCCTGCCTCTGCCTCCCGAGCGCTGGGATTAAAGGCGTACATCACCACGCCTGGCTAAAACATTGTTTTAATGAACATATACGTGATAAAAGAAAATTAAATTCATTAATACATATCACTGTTGCTTTTTCAGGTGTTTTTTGTTTTTTATTTTGTCTTTTAAAGTGTGTGGGAGAGGGCATGGGAGCTCATGCCATGGGGCTCCTGTGGAAAAGGAGAACTTCTGGGAGTTGGTTCTCTTCTGTGCTGTTGAGACAGGTGCGGCAGGCTCCAGGCCAGCTGTACAAGCTTCCAGGTGATTTTTGTCTGTCTCCCATCTAGCAGTTGGAGTACAGAGGTTATAGATGTGTGCCACTGCATCTAGCTTTTTTTATGTGGGTTCCAGGGTTGACTTGAGGTCGTTAGGCTTAAGCAACAAGAGCTTTTACCCACTGGCCTCAAACTTGTTACATTGCTAAGGCTGGCTTGAGCTTCTGCCTCCACTGCCCAGGTGCTGAAATTATAGGAATGCACTATGGTGCCTGGCTCATGTTTTTTTGTTGTTTTGTTGTTGATTTTGGCTTTTGGGGTATGAGTGTGTGTGTGTAGATAAAATCTACTCTTAACAAATTTCAGTTGTACAATGCTTTTGTAATAGCCACATTCTATATGATAGTTCTCTAGAAACTTTCACTCTGTTTCCATTAAGTTCAAATTTCATGTAAGTGAGAGCATGTTGTTTGTCTACCTGTGTGTGGTTTATTTAGCATAATAGTCTCCAGTTTCAGCCATTAACTATAGCTCTAATACACCTTATGTGTTCATGGTACATGTAAGGCTGCATGCTCCTAAAGCTGAGTATGTTTTTAAGCACTTGCAAAATCGTCTTCTATATATTCTTTTTTGTTTGTATTGTTGTATATAATAAACATGAAGAAATAAGAAGAGAACGTACTCAAAGACAGAAAAATTTTAAGATTTTGCAGATAATTTAGTAGATGTAGCGCTTTTATTGTCTGTTTCATAGAAGAAGATTTGATTGACTGATTGATTGATTGATTAATTGATTGATTGATTGATTTCAGTCATTCATTCATTCATTGGGGATGTGTGTGTATGTAGTGTGTGTGTAGTGTGTGTGTATCTAGTGTGTGGTGTGTAGTGTGTGCACGTAGTGTGTGTGTGTGTGGTATGTAGTGTGTATGTGGTGTGTAATGTGTGTATGTAGTGTGTGTGTATGTAGTGTGTGTGTTGATTGATTGATTGATTGATTGATTGATTTCAGTCATTCATTCATTCATTGGGGATGTGTGTGTATGTAGTGTGTGTGTAGTGTGTGTGTATCTAGTGTGTGGTGTGTAGTGTGTGCACGTAGTGTGTGTGTGTGTGGTATGTAGTGTGTATGTGGTGTGTAATGTGTGTATGTAGTGTGTGTGTATGTAGTGTGTGTGTGTGTGTGTGTGTGTGTGGTATGTACACACACACATACCACAGTGCACATGTGAAGATCTGAGGACAGCTGGTAAAAATCTGTTCCCTCCTTCAAGGAGCTCAAACTCAGGTCATCGGGCTTGGTGCAGTCACCTTTACCCACTGAGCCACTCACCGGCCCCATTTTTATTTTTTGACTTTGCAAATACTTCATCTCTTCAAAACTGTGGCCTCGAGTACTACCGCACAGGAGTGTGTCAGAAGGACCCTGTTGCTCATACATGAAATCCGTTCTTGGTCTACTGTTGACATGCCTCCCCTCTGTTGTGTGTGTCCTCAGATCACTTTAAAAAGACATGAAATAAGACAGGGACTTGTTGGGAAGAATACTGAAAATAACATAATTAGGGTAACTTCTGTCCAGCTAAGGTGAACTATATGGATCTACACACTAAAAAAAAGCCCAGAATGACCACCTGTTAATTTGCTTAGTATACAATATGATTTGTGTTCGAGTTCTCAGTTAATACAGTGACAGGAAAGTATATGGGTTTTTTTATTTTTACTAATTTAAGCCACGTGAAGTCAATCTGGTAAGTTCAGGTAGGGTAAACAAAAATGCCGATCTAAGGTTTTTTATATTAAATATATGATCAAAAAGAAAAAACTTTAAATTCTACTACTAAATGAACATTTTTTTTACCGTTTTATTGTACTTTTTAATTTTATGTTGAGCATATTGCCAGCATGTATGTGAGTGCAGCCATGTCATGCAATGTCCAAGGAAGTTAGAGAGGGCGTTGGGGCTCCTGGAACTGGCATTATGGATGGTTCGTAGCTGCCATGTGTGTGGTGGGAATTGAACCCAGGTCCTCTGCAAGAGCAATCAGTGCTCTTAACCGCTGAGCCATCTCTCCAGCCCTGAACATTTGTTTTTAAAATTGGTCATAAAAAATAGAAATTTATGGGGCTGGAGAGATGTCTCAGCAGTTAAGAACACTGGTTGTTCTTGCAGAAGACCCAGGTTTGAATCCCAGCACCCATATGGCAGCTAACAGCTGCCCGTAACTCCAGTTCCAGGGGATTTGACAGTGTCTTCTGTCCCCCGCGGGCTTTGCATGACACAGGTGCACTTACATACATGTAGGCAATACATGCAAACACATAAAATAATAATAAATAAAATATTTTTAAAAATAGATATCTATAAGCAAGAGACACAGTATGTTTTATTATTCTGTGTATTCCTGTTACTGTTGTTCTTAAACAGGCGAGAAAACTGGATGTATATTTTGAATATGAAGAAAAAATAATGAGTAAGACCACCCTGGACAAATCCCTTCTGGACATCATAGCAGACCCTGACGGTATGTGCCAGAGTTGAGGTTACTATTCACAAGTTGTGAATCTAGCATTTCAGTTTTGGCAAAATTTAAGTAGAATTACTGTTTTGGGGTTTTTTTTTTTGGTTTTTTTTTTTTGTCAATTAGTTCTAATACATGATAATTAAGTGAGCTATTTTCTATTGAAAAATTTTCAACATAGCAGCTTTAAAAACAGAAAATGATTTCTGTCTAATTCTTTGAACTTTTCTTTGGTAGTGTTTTAAAGCACTTCATATTCATTTCTTTAATGTGATTTATATGACAGTTTCTGCTCTTTCCATGAAGATTGGCGTGAATAACCTTGAAAACAAGTTAACTCCAAGTTTTCTACTTTCTTTGGTTTATCCTAGAGAATATCATGAAAAACATATCAAAACTGAGTTCTGTTTTATATGTTAGAAAATTCACTTTTTTCTTAAGACTGGACCACTTGGGAGATTGGCCAGTCACCCTCATGCCTGGCCCGCACTTATCTTCTCTGGGTATCTTTCTAATTGTAATAAACAGGCTGCCGACGCAAACACAGAAAATTCAGTTTTTAGGAGAGTCTGGGATGATGATTGCTCACTGGGTGAAGTGCTTGCCATGCCAGCTCTATGACCTGAGTTCAGATCCCCAGCACCCACATTTTTTTTTAAAAAAAGCTGAACTCTACAGCATCTGCCTGTACTCCCAGTTATTGGGAGGCAGAGACAAGAGGATCCCTGGGCTTGCCAGTTGACAGGGCCTGGGAGCAGTAATAGCCCGTTGTAAAGAATCCAGCTAATAAATGCCACTAGGACCCATCCCAGAAGTGGCTGATTACAGGCTGGAGGAGGGAAAGTACAACCTTAGTCTGAATATTTGTTACATCAGAAAACAAAACAAAAATGTACTGAAGCATGTCAAAAGGACCCAGAAGTCAGTGTAAAGAGTCTCAAAATCATGACCGTTCAACCATCATGGTAAATAAATAATAATAAATAACAGGTTAAAGCCCACAGGATGAATAGGGAGCCCTGTTTCCGTAGACAGGACAGGTGAAAGCGTATGGGGCATTCACACACTTTCAGAGTGCCCCGGCTGTTGAGAGGACTGCTCCTTACTGTGACAGACGCTTGAGAGAATTTAAAAGGAGGGAAAGTGTGTCTCTGCTCTGGGTTTCAGAGGATTCAGGCCTCTGAGGTGAGGTTGAATGCCGTGACGTGGAGCATGTAGTAGAGCAAAGCTGTTCGCTTGCTTCATGTGACAGGAAGTACGATGGGGAGCATGTCCATCTTTACCTAGAATGTCAGAGTGACGTGCTTCCTCCAGTTAGACTCCTCCTCCTCATCTCTTCTCATGATGTCATCATATGATCACTCCATAAAGGGTCAGGTGGAGTCAAGCTTTTAGGAACCATTCACTTCCCACAAACCTCTCAGCTGTCAGCCTGGGTCCCTATACACAAGTCTGTCAGGTACATTTCATATTCAAACTGTAATGCCTACCTATAAAATATTTGTTAATTATAAAGGGAGAGATAGTAACTTTACAGCAGAGAACCATGGCAGATACCTTATTAGATAATCTCAGTTAAATGATGGTAATGAAACACACCAAAATGTGATTCAGTGCAGAGAATGCAGCATTACTTCTGTGCTGTTGCTGCTAAAATGGGTCATCTGAACCTACTCATGAGGAACTGTGAGACAGAACTTAATTGTGCAATGTGTGACCACAAGGTGGCCTTGAAAATTATCAAGAATGGGCAAGTAAAGGACCATGAGGAGCAGACTGATTTCCTCCATGGATCATTATTTTGCAGTTATATTGGGAAATGTCTGACGCTTGAGTGTGATGGTGCAGAGTCAGCGTCTTATTCTCAGAAGAAAAATGCTCTCTAAACTATACCTAAAACTTTCCTCTTAAACATCAGATTACTGAGTGAGAAAACTGATTTGGAAATAGAGCTGTTTGGGGAAAGATTTAAATCTAAAAAGAAGCTCCAGGCTGTGGATTATGTTAAGAAGAAAAGATTGTTATTTTCAGTTTAGTATCTCTGTGGTTTACATCACTATGATCAGAATGCTATTTAACTTTTATTTATTTTTATTTTTATTTTTATGTATATGAGTGTTTTGGCTGCCTGTATGTAAGCACTTGTGTGTACAATGCCCACAGAGGCCAGAAGAGGGCATGAGGTCCCCTGGAACTATAGTTAGGGATGTCTTTTAGCCACTATATGAGTGCTGGGAACCAAAACCAGACTGAACACCCAGTGCTCTTAACCAGCCCCAAATTCCTTATCAGTCACCTCTATAACCTCAGCAAGAGGTGCTAGGGCATTTATTAACATAGTAACTACAGTAACACAGGTTTCCTGTGAATTACAGCATCAGTTCCTTCTTTAAAGGATCGGAGCCTACTATTAAACAGTGTTATTCTAGATGCTGAGGATGTTAAAAGTAACAGTAGAGACTCGGGCCCCTAAAACTGAGAAGGTTATCTTCATAGTTATGGTCCCAAGTTGATTTTTTTTTTCAGTCCCCATTTCTTCATAGCTGTAGTCAGAGAAAGTGTGCTTGGAGCAGGGTCACTAGAAATAGAACTGTCTGGCTGGAGCATCAAAAGGGAAAGTCAAGGGAAGGTACCAGGGAGATTGCAGGAAGAAAGGAGTTCAGGCAGGCAGCCCTCCTGTAAGGTTTGGGGCTCACTCATGAGCTGTGTGTGCACAGATCTGATCCTAAACAGTATTCCAAAGACTGGGAGACGAAGGACAGATTCTTTCCCAGATGTCCTCTGTGTGGTGGGTCACATCCCAGGAGCACTGCAGGAGGTTTTGGAAAGGTAGAAGTATAGCATACAGAGACGGGTAGGAATATTAGTCTGTCCGCAAGCTAGTTGCTCATCTAAAACAGCAGCAGTGTTCCAGGGTTTACACAGTACCTCCACTCTCATCGCCTCATGGTTATAATACTTAGCTGTGAGCCCAAGAACTGGAGAAAACCTGTTACTGATCTTTTTACCTTTCATATTCAGAGAATAAAGGTAAACTGAGGAGGAGTGTCTGGATTCTAAATCACAGGAAGCTCAGTGGTTTCTCAGTCCATCTTTTTTAAAAATCTAGTTTTTGGTTGTTATTGAAGTGGTGAGCTTTTGTCTTTTGTTTATTTACTTGGGTGCTTGGTTGATTTTTGAGATAGAGTCTCACTGTATAGCTCACCCTGCTCTAGAGCTTACTATGTAGTCCAAGCTGGCCTTGAACTTGGAACCCTCCTGTCTCTGTCTTCAGTGCTGGGATTACAGGCATGTGCCATCATGAGACCAGTTCTTTTAACTCTGTGATGAAACACATGCAACAGTAATGAGTCTTCACATCTTGGCATACACTTTCAGTGAGAGTCAGTAGTGTTATTTAAGACCAGGGCTGTATCACTTTTCCACCAACGTGCACCCTGTAGAAGCAGGAGAATGATTGAGTTTCTCTAGAAAATTCGGGCGTAGTTATAGGCGTAGTTTTAGGCGTAGTGGACTCCTGGTGAAAAACACCCACTGCAGCGAGAAACTGCTTTGAAAGTTTAGTTTTGCCTTAAAATTTGAGGGAAAGTAAAGTTTTCACAAACCTTGTGGTAAAATAATATTCTTCAGAGAGAACAGGCAGGTTTAGGGCTCAGTTCAGGAAAGAGGACTTTTGGCTCAGCAAGGGTTCATTTAAGCAGCAAGTCTCATAACCCAGTACCTAGGCGATGACGATGCTGACTTCTAGGACAGTCCCGTACAGGCCAGGTGTCCTGTGCAACAATTGCCAGCTTTCCTTGCCATCCCCATTTTATATATATATAAAATGTATCCTCCCCTCACTCTTTTTACTGTATACCTAAAGATAAATCTTCATAGCATTATAGACAGTTTGGAAGATAGGAGAGAGATGTTTCTATAAGCACTCCACTCATTCCCGTGCCTGTTTTATGTGGTACCTTGTAGTTTTATTACTGATTACCTCAACTCAGTTGAATCAAGAATTTTATCTTGTTTTGTCACATTTATATGACTTGAATGTTAAGGTACTTGTAAGTATAGACTGTAATGCATAATACCAGTCACAGTTAAGATCTTTCTTTTTCACCTTTCCCTGTGTAGCAGGAACTCCAGAAGACAAAATGAGGCTGTTTCTTATCTACTACATAAGCACGCAGCAAGCGCCGTCTGAGGTACGTGCTCTCTGCCATTAGTAGGAGGAAGGGGGATGCTTATTTGCCGAGTTACCAGTTAGAATTTCTAAAATAGAAGTAGAGTCCTTAAATATATGGTATTTTGTTTTTGTTTGTTTGTTTGTTTGTTTTAAAGAAAAACAATTTGTTATGGTTGATTCTATTTACTGCAGAGTTTTATACCAATATTTTTGTTAGCAGAGAACTATCCACTCAGGAAATGCCTTACAACTTTTAAGTTGTTGAAATATGTGACCAAAATTCTTATTTCTAGAATATATTGGTTCTAAACTAGATTAACCAGGTTTGCTAAGGTTTTCAAAAGACTGGTCTTATATTTTAAGTGACTTAATGGAAACACCCTACAATGGCTGTTCTGTAAAGAAAAGCAGTGATTTGGGTGTCAGGCCTCTTCCTGGGCTGGAGACCCTTGGTGCTCGTTCTTACGTTAACAGTGTAGTTTGCTGAACAAGCAGCGGTTACAAGATGCCATCTAGAAATAATCTTTGGTAGCAGTTTTTGTTGTTGTTATGTTTGATAAGTTGTAAGGCTTCCGTTGGCCAAAGTCTTTAGCATGTTAAAGCAGCATGCTAAACCCAGTATTCACATTAAACCATTTTACTTTGCTGTAGGAATGCATCCATCTCAACTTTTCTTCTGATTAATTCAGAAAAAAAAAATGTGATTTTCTCTCTAGAAGTAGCTTGCTCATCAATGGAAGTTTACCTGTTTCTTACTCTAATATCCTATTTGTATTTTCTTAAGAATATATTATTTTACTTAATCCTAGCACTCAGGAGCCAAAAGAAGGTAGATCTCTGTTAGATTGAGGTCAGCCTGGTCTACATACTGAGTTCCAGGTCATCTGAGACTACAGGGAGACCCTGTCTCAAAAACAAAAGTATATATTCTTTTAAAACTTTTTATTCCCTTAGTTATACTACCTTATTTTTAATAAGGATTTTCATAAACTTTATTGATCATTAAGAGATTTAGATCAAATTATAACTATTAATATCAACTTACTAGCCCCCAAAAATCTAAAGAAGTTAAACTCTCTGGTTGATGGTGAGCTTGAAAGTTTCTCCCTTGATAGGCCTGAGGAGATGGCCTGGTCAGTAAAGTGTTTACCATGCAAGCGTGAGGATCTGAATTTGATCCCTAGGAACGATGTTTTTTAAAAAGCTGGGTGTGGGGCTGGAGAGATTCAGTGGTTAAGAACACTGGTTGTTCTTGCAGAAGACCCAGGTTCAAATTCCAGCACTCACATGGCAGCTAACAACTGTCCGTAACTCCAGTTCCAGGGGATCCGACAGCCTCTTCTGTCCTCCGCGGGCATTGCATGACACAGGTGCACTTACCTACACACAGGCATAGCACTCATACCTGCTCTTGCAGAAGACTAGGGTTCAATTCCCAGCACCCACATGGCAACTAACAACTGTGTAACTCCAGTTCCAGGGGATCCGACAGCCTCTTCTGTCCTCCGCGGGCATTGCATGACACAGGTGCACTTACCTACACACAGGCATAGCACTCATACACATAAAATTAAAATAATAAATAAAATATTAAAAAAAAAGCTGGGTGTGTACCTTGTAATCCCAACACTGGTATGTGGAGGCAGGAGGATGCCTGGGGCATGCTGGCTGCCAGCCTAACTGAATTGATGAGCTCCAGGTTCAGTGAGATGCCCTGCCTCAAAAATAAGGTGGAGAGCCATTGAGGAAGGCACACACTGTCCATCTGGACTCCACACTCATGTGCACACACATACATCCATGCCTACAACACATGGTCACGTTCACAGAAGTTTTCACTTTGTTTTTGTTGTCATCACTCTGATGCTAGCCTCCTTTAATTTAAGCACAAATTCAGTGAGGCTTCTCATTAGGAGATTAAAAAAATAATAATAGTAAGGACAAGAGGAAAAAACAGTTTTTAAAAACCCAGGACAACTGTTGTTCAGCAAATGAACCTGAGCCCATGGAGTGAAAGTGAGGGGAACTGAGTCTGCATTTTCTCTCAGTCTATGTCTCTCTGCTGCTGCTTCTGGTGCTGAATGTTTTTGCTCGGGCTGAATCATTCACTGAGGGCTTGTCTCTGAGAACGGCAGCCTATTTTAGCAGCAGAAACGGGATGACAAAGACGATGTCGTTCATAGGTGTGGAGCTGCCTCGGGAGCTCCATTACGAGGGTTTCTGCCTCAGATACTTGGCTAGTCAGTTCAGATGCAGCTGCTCTCCACTGCGGTGCCCAGAATTAAACTCATGCCTTTGTTTTTAGAGCTTGTTAATCAAATGACAACAAACTCAGTCTTCTATGAAAGTATAATTTTTTATCGTGTAGTTCTTTTCTTATTTCAGGCTGATTTGGAGCAATATAAAAAAGCTTTAACAGATGCAGGATGCAACCTTAATCCTTTACAGTATATCAAACAGTGGAAGTAAGTTTTAGTTTCTTTTTTGATTCCTTCTGTTTACGGTAGCGTCAAATTCAGATTTGGTTCCCAAGAAAATGGGAATGCTGGTAAGAAGGTGGTGGAGTTTTCTAGCCAGGGGCACAGCATTCTTTTCTGGAAAATTAACACTCCTTAAAGTAGTGATTCCTCCCCACCCCAGACAAGCTTTGTGTTTACTTTATGGATAAATTGATAGTCAGAAACTGAAAACTTTTGGATTGAATGTCTCAAGCATTAAAAAGAACTTTTAGCTCCACTAGTAACTAAAACAATACTGAATTTAGAAAACATTGTGCCAAGGAAATGGCTGGATTAATTGGTGCATTCCAGTCTGCTATGAGGAATATGATTAGAATGGTATCAAAGGCTTTGAAAAGGAGCTTTAAACTTGTACTATTTTTAAGAATTTATCCAAAGAAGTAATTTCAGTTATAGAATCTTAGACATGAAAACCAGTCCAAATGTCCAGCTAGCAGAAAAGTAGGTAAGTAATGATGGTACTTCATCTGGTCTGGTGATGCACACCTATAATCCCAGTGCTTGGGAGGCTGAGGTGGGAGGACATAGGTGCAGAGCTAGACGGCACGTAGCTAGATGCTAGGCCCTGTCCATCTGTCTGCCCTTCCTAAAATCATAGCATTTTCATAAGTAGAATCCAATTGGATAACTGAAAGTCTTGTTAAAGAAGGCTTAAAGACATTGGGAAATATTCATATTATTTTGTTAGGAGGGGAAAAAATTGTTTGCAACACTGTTCATTAGTTAGGTAAATACTGTCAGCCCTCCATATCCTTCAGGTCTGCACCCGTAGACTGAAATATTCTGGAAAATATTCTGCTGAACCTGTATGGACTTTTTCCCCTAGCATTATTCTCTAATAAACAGTACAGTATAACAGTGATATATGTAGCCTTTATGTTGTATTAAGCATTGTAAAAAACCTAGAGATGATTTAAATTATACAAGAGGACATACAGAGGTTATGCAAATACTACACATTTTATATAAGGTACTTGGACACTCATATCTTCATATGGAGGATCACGAAACCAAACGCCATGAGTGCCAGAGATGTTGTTTCCTAATCGGTACATGAGGAGCAGGACCTGCGCTGCCATTGAATTTACATGTGTTGAAAAAAAAGCTAACAAGTAAAAGTATAATATTAATACATGCTGATGACACAACGAAAAAGACAAGTGATAAGCTCTTTGCCAAGGGCTAGATTTGCTTAGACGATCAGGTAAAACTCTAGGTAGGTAACATTTGCACCCAAACTCAGATGGCAGTTTTTCCAGGATGCTCCATCTGCACGTATCCATGTATGAGTGCACACATATATACATTTAATTGTGTAACTAGAGCAACATACACCTGAGTGTAACTCCACGTGGCGGATTTGTTTTTCTTCCTTGCTTTTCCTGTAACAGATCTGCCCTTGAAATGTTTGTTGAGTCAGTTTTATGACCACAAGATTGACTGTGCATCTTAATCTCAGTGGAGGATGTGCACAGCTAACGAAGCGCACCCAGCTGTTAACAGGTCACCCAGTGGTGTTGGGCTGCTCTCTTACCCACGGTTTTCTCACATTCCTTCTGTTTTGCTCTGTTCTTGTAATGAAACAGCACATACAGACCTTTGTTTTAAAAGAAACTACTTAAACTTCCTTTCCACTTTTTCGGTAGGTAGACCAACATAGTTGCCTGTGGCAATAGGTCCTTGTTCTTCTTAGGTTGATGTGTGTGGAATTCATTAATCAATGTGTGGAGTAATTGTGGGAAAGACAACCTAGGCGTTGTTCCATGTAGTCAAAAATATATACTTTCTCATTTGTGACATTCGTTTTTTCAAAGTGTAAAAGCCGTATTAGTTCAATGAAAATAATTTTAGGAAATTCATAAAGGTAAAGAAAGTTTGACCAGTGAGATGGCTCAGCAGATGGTGATTGGCATGCGGCCTAGCAGCCTGGGTTCAGTCCCTGAAACTCCAGGAAAGTGAAGGAGAAAACAGACTCCACAGTTACCCTCTGACTTCCACATATGCGCCATAGTATGTGTATATAGTAAGCATGCGTGCATGCTTGCGTGCACACAGAACAGTAAATTTTTTAAAAGGAGACTTTTACTTGTCCTATGTAATTGTAGTACATACCTATAATCCCAGCACTCATAAGACTGAGGCAGGTCTCGGTACATGGCCAGCCTGGGCTACGTAACCTCACTGCACGTACTTTTTAGCTGAGAAATCAATTTTATAGGTATTTCTTTTTTCTAGTTTCCAATATTACACCAATTTGTCGTTGTCTCTTTGGTTTTGGGGTGTGTGTGTGTGTTTCTTTTCTTTTTTGAGACAGTTTCTCACTATGTAGTCCTGGCCTGGAACTCACTATCTAGACCACACTGGCCTTGAATTCACAGAGACCCAACTGCCTCTGCCTTCTGAGTGCTGAGATTCAAAGTCTGCAGCCCCGCGCCTGGCCTCGCATTGACTTTGGTTTTCCTCTCCTGACACTGTTAGACATTGTCAAGACTGAGGCTGAATGTTTTTAGCATTTCAACTACCTTTTTTTTTTCATTCTCCTAAAATTTTCTTTAGGTCTTCCCTCCCCCTTCTTTTCATGCATTTGAAATAGCCAAGAATCACCATGAAAGGACATTGGCTGACAAAATGTGGTCTACTAAAGATGTGGTCCAGGGCAGAACGACAAAATGGCACTGACTTTGCTGCTTGGTGTTGTGGCTTACATGTGGTGTCCACACCTGGATGAGCAGACTTCAGATCCTAACAGATATAGTTGATTACCTCAGAGTACTGAGAAGCTTCTGAGAGCATACTTCTGAATTATGTAGAGAAATGTGAAAGCATTCTTGCATGAAAATATTTTTGGAAACATACCTAAGTGCTATCTTTCTCCCCAACCTTTAAAAATCTAATAGTTTGAAGAGATTTAAACACTTAGAAAAGTTGGAAATACACAACCATGTCCAGTTACATTTAAAATTGTGCCGTTTGTAACAGAACCAAGTGAACTGAAAGAGTGTTAAGAGAGTGGCTTTGAGTGGAGGGAGTGTGTGTGTGATCTCTGCTTCCTTGTAAGAAGATAGTATTCCACACCCCCAAGGACAGCCTGAGCAAAGGCATGCGTCAGGGGCAAGGGGCTCCTGGGGGACGGGACTGTGGGTATGCAGAACAATGAAACGGAGCTTGATCATGTGATTGATCTCTTAAGTCACAAGACTACCTCGGTTCTTGTTAATGACCAGCTAGGAAAAGAAAAGGGAAAAAAAAAAATCCCTGGCATTTGGGGTATATTTGTGGTTTTTGTTTTTGCAGTGCTAGTGATGGGACCCTGGGCCTTGCACCTGCTGGGCAAATGCTCTACGAGGAATCTCCATGCTTTGATACTAACTGTAGAGTAAAAATACTCGAAAAATTATTAATCGAAGAATGTCTGCATAAGAGAAGTTAATCAATAGGTCTTTTAATACCACGCTACCAAATATAACTGTAATAGTTTGCTTGTAAGTATAACCTACTTATTTTACAGGGCTTTTGCCAAGATGGCCTCAACTCCTGCGAGCTATGGTAACACCACCACTAAACCAATGGGGTAAGTAGTTAACAATGGTGACTGAACCTTTGTAGTCCAAACATTTAAACTTTCATTACCTGACACCTTCCAGAACATTTCATTTTGAAACAGAATAAATACAATGTGCTTCTGGCTTCCTTAGATGGCTTTAATTCTCCTTTTAAAATGAAAGGGAATATCTTTTTAAAAAATATTTATTATTTTTATTTTGTGTGTATGAGTGTATTGCCTGCCTGTATGTAAGTGCACCTGTGTCGTGCAATGCTGCGGAGGTCAGAAGAGAGTATCAGATCCCCTGGAACTGGAGTTAAGATGTTTGCTAGCTTCCATGCAGGTCCTGGGAACCAAACCCAGGTCTTCTGAACGAGCAGTCAGTGCTCTTAACTGCTGAGCCATCTCTCTAGCCCAAAAAGGGAGTATCTTTTACACGGTGTAAGCCTGGTTTCATGTGCTTCTTTGTTCTTAAGACATTTTTCATTTTTAGAAACTATGTGGTTATCACTATTGATTGCCATAATGTGGACTTTTGAGGTGAGGCACCAAGACCTAATCATAAGACAAATGCAGGCCCAGTACAGATGGTAACAGGAAGTCCCCTGGACAGGGGATGACTCTTCCCTCCAGAGACTTAGAGAATTTGTGTGATTTTCAGATTTGCTGAGAAAAGCAATTCTGGCAACTGTTTTCTGTATCATGCAGATTTCAATTCCTAATTTATTTTTTAAGGCTGGAGTAAAAGTGTGAAACCCAGAGGAAAAGAAATCTATCCTAGTACCACAGTGAGCGATTCCTTTCAATGGAGCAGCTTTCCAAAATAAAAGCCCCTAGCCCAAAACAGGACCGTCTAACTCCTAGGCACAGTGACTCATCTGGCCTCACCTCAGAGGGTGCTATCAAGACCCTCCCACAGTCCTCGTAGTTGCCTGGCCCAAGGATTGACTCTCGAGCTGTGCAGTCCATCAGAGGTTACTTCTCTTATCTGCGCTGATGAAGGCTTGACATCCCGTCCACCTCTTCATTTCAGAGGGCAGTAAGGATAAGAAAAGAGAAAGGAAATTTCCTAAAGCCTTGGGTTTTGTACTTAAAGGATATTAGTAAAATGTGTTGTAAGAAAATCCTGGCTGATTTTGAAGGCTGCCCCTAGCTTTCTAATATGATGTAGAATTAACTATACTCTGCTTCAAAGCATTCTTCAATCCTGTGTATGAGACTGGAGTGTAAATCTGAACCCAGCATTGCAAATCCTGGTTGGCATTATTTTTGTGTTTCTTAAAAGTTCAAATAGTGGGGCTGGAGAGATGGCTCAGTGGCGAAAACACTTAGTGCACTTACAGAGGACCTGGGTTCGGTTCCCAGCACCTACGTGGCTGCTCACAACCTGATCCAACGCCTTCTTCCGGGCCACGGGCACTACTTGCACATGATGCACGTAGTTACAGGCAGACGGTCCTATACACAAAATAATCATTTTTAAAATTGAGATGGTAAGCCTTCTTCAGAGCTGGGGCGGCACTTACAGTTTATCTGCTTCACATTTTTACACAATAGGTTTTCTGTATGTGGCGAGGAGACGGTGTACACTGCAGAGCTGGTCCAGCTGCTGTGGTACAGCAAGCACAGCACACCCGACCTGCTCATGATGCTTGCAGGCAGTGTGTTTTATGTGTGAAGGAGCTCTTAAGCAAAGTCTGAACTACCAACTTTCATTTTATTGTTTTTGCAACAAACAATCAGAAATGCAAGTGATTCTCAATTTATAATTTGCCAAAAACTGTATGTAAGGCTAAGAAATTAAGATGTTTATTTTTAATGATTATTTTGTTGGTATTTTATTGTCAAATAAAATTGCAGCAGAGATACTCTGCTAAGTGAAAACAAAAGCCGCTCTCCCAGGCAGTTACTACCCTGCATGTACTTACTGTGGTCCTCCTTGTCTTTTGACCCTCTCCAGTCTCTTATCACGAGTCATGAACACAGGATCGCAGTTTGTGATGGAAGGTGTGAAGAACTTGGTCCTGAAACAGCAAGTAAGTATACTTGTCAGAACACCCGCTGCTCACTGACTGTAGATGCTAGAGAAACTTCTGGGTTTATTCGAGGACCACGGTTAGAATTAAGCAGTCCTTTGGTGGCATGTGGAGGAGTGTGAGACTGTCTTCCTGTGTGTACTTCAGAACTCTGTGCTTCCTGCTTATTTTCAGTAAGATTTGCTCAATTGGACTTGACTGACGGTTTGATTTTTCTTTACTGTCAGGTTTGTAAGACCTTTAGCATAATGAATGAACTGCTGCGCAATGTCATTTGTTTTAGCATGTACTAGGGATGGTATAGTAAGTTCATAGACATGCTATGTATCGTTAGTTTTACATGTAAAACATTTCAAAATTATTTTGTTCCTTCAGTTTTTCTTTTGTGACATATGGATAGTCTGCTTTTAGAGTTGCTAGTTTGGTTTCTTTTATAAAAATATATTTACTTTGAGGGGATGGAGAGATGGCCCAGCAGTTAAGAGCACCAGCTGCTCTTGCAGAAGACCTGGGTTTGATTCCCAGCACTCACATGGTGACTATCAACTGTCCGTAACTGCAGTTCCAGGGGGATCTGATGTCTTCTGACCTCTTCTGACCTCCATGGGCATTGCATGACACAGGCGCACTTATAGACATGCAGGCAATACACTCGCACATATAAAAATAAAAATAATGAAGCATTTAAGAAATACTTTCCTTTTACCTTTTATTGTGAAATTTTTCAAATATGCATTGGTGTTTCAAGCTCTCCTGAGCTCCTCCGTACTCAGCACCCTCACATCTTTGTTTTATCTGCTACATTTTCACTTTTTATTGTTATTACTGGAACATCTTAAGACAAATCTGAGGTATCGTACTCATAAATACTGTTTTGGCAAAGGAGTTTTAAAGGCCAAATGAAGAAGAGACCATTCGTTAGCCAAAATGGCCATGTGGACTTGCCATTTTCAGATTCTTCTCTTTCTCAAGCTTCCTCCACACTTTTCAAACCCAACTGTTTTCTTACGGCATTTTGTATAATTATCATTTGTATTTTAAAAATTATTTTAATTTTCCCTCTTTGGATTTTCCATGGACTTTTCATAAAGTAGTTTTCTAGTTTCAAAAGACCTTCAAATTCTTTGTTTGAACAAGTAAATAGCATTTTATTAAAAACAACATGTACTTTAATAAAGAATTCTGAAAAATCCTCATTTTGCTTTTAGTGAATTAAAAAGCTGATAGCTTAACAAACCTTACTTTCAAGTATACACCGGGCATGTATTAACCCCAGCACTCGGGAGGCAGTGGCAAGTGGATCTCTGTGAGGGTGAGGCCATCCTGATCCTACATAGTGAGTTCCAGGTGGTCTGGGGCCACAGGAGGCCCTGTCCAAAAAAAAAAAAAAAAAAAAAACAGTGGTGCAGACCTATAATCCCAAAGTTTGGGGGCAGAGACAGAAGGACTCCTCAGTCTTTCTGGCCAGCCAATCAGTGAGATACTTCAAAAAAAAAAAAAAAAAAAAATCAAATAATTCCCACTATTTCCTAAGAACAGGAACACTCTTCAGCCCTGATAAAGGAGATCTTATAGAAATTATTGTTGATACCTCTGTCCTCCTAAACTTAAGTCAATAGGCTTATTTTTAACTAATGCACAATAATTTCCTAAGGCCCCTGAGGATGCCTGTAAAAAAGACAGTTAAGTTGGTTTGCTGTTAATATTATAGCAACACAGATATTTGTTTTGGAGTTCATGAAATACAAAAATTATCCTTTATAACTTCAAGTCACTTTGCTTTTCTTAACGTTTCAAATATAACTGTTTTGAGATAGACGGTTACTTTTAAAAGTAAAACTTGAATTGCTCTGTGGTAACTTTTTCCTATCCAACATTTCTGCCTCCACCAAAAAACTCTTGTGTTAAAAGAGAGAGGGGACAGATGAATACACTTTAAATGTTCATTTTTTTCTGGATGAATATTCACCTCTGATTATTTCTACCCATATTATAAATTCCTGGAATTAAATTCTAGAATCAAAGGGCAGGGACATTTCTAATTGTTTCTAATAAATAGTGCCAAATTATTCTTCAGTAAAAACTTCCTTGTTCTGAAAATATGTATTTAAGGGGCTAGAGAGACGACTCAGTGGTTAAGAGCACTGTCTGCTCTTGCAGAAGACCTGGGTTTGAATCCTAGCACCCACATGTCGGCTAACAAATGTCCATAACTCCAGGGGTTTGGATGCCCTCTTCTGACCTCCACAGGCATTGCACAACACAGGTGCACATACGTACATGTAGGCATAACACTCATACACACAAAATAAATAGGTCAAAAAATTATATTTTAAATTTTTAATGTATAAACTCATAGAAACCCACTCAAAATCGCATTGTCCTAATACTCAGATGTAGAGGTAGTGCTGTGGTAGGCTCTGGGACAGTGTGGGAAGTAGGTAAGACGTCAAAGAAGACTGCTGGGACAGTTCTGTTAATGTCACGACACTTGAACCTAGAAGGGCTGTTTGGGGGTTTTAAAAATAATTTTTTATTGATTTTCTGAGGGCAGGGTATGTGTGTGTGTCGTGGCACATACGGGCCAGGGGACAACTTTGTGAAGTTGGTTCTCTCCTTCCACCTTTATGTAAGTTCTGGGGATTGAACTCAGGTTTCCCAGGTTGTAGGGCAAGCCCTTTATCACCTGCGCCTTCTTGCTGGCCCTATAAAGGTGGCTTTGAGTTGGTTTTATCTGAATAAACATTGTAGGCTATACATTGCTTAGACCAAAAATATTAGCCAATAAATTTTAAAATATTTTAAAAGAAGAGTAGGATTAGCCATGTTCAGTTTTCTGGGTCACCAATAAGAGCTTTTTATATTTTGTTTTCTGGGCAGCATGAGTTTCATACATCATGAGTATCAACTATCACATAAAACCGGTTGAATGATATTTACAGATTTGAAATATATTTGTGTGAGGATAATTACATAAGAACGTGATGATGAATATTCTAGCACAAAGTCACATAATTTAGAAATCTTGTTTCACTTTCTTTGACCCATCTACCAAAGTAATACGTCTTTTAAAAATGGGTTAGCAACAAATAAATTGCAGGCAGTGCAAATCCACAGATTAAAAGACTTGACACCTAATTGCCATGTATGATCTTAAATAATAAGTAAGAAAGTCAAAGTTTTATGCAGCAGAAAGTTTTCATGCTGCATATTATGTAATCAGTTCCCAGTGTATAATAGGTGTGAGATTTGCGGTCTAATGTAAACAGGTTTTGTCAGTAGCCTCGGTAAAGCCAGTGTGAAACAGTGTCATGGGTTTCTTCTTGAAGAGGACTTGTATGTTGGAGATCCATACTGACATCTGGATGATGATGTCCTCTTGGGGATTTTAAACAACATAGGACAGTGGGGAGCCAATGAGAGCATAGATGAAGAACGATCTACCACGCGTTGCTAACTGGTGAAAGGGGTTCGAGGGAGATGCAGACCCATGTGATCCTATCTTCTTGATTTTTATTGGCGTTAATATGCTGTGATTGAGGGGCAAATTTTGCTTCATACATTTTGAGTCTTCTTGATCCATTATGAAGGTTGGAGTTAGTCTGTAGATCTATTTCGAGTTCATAATCTTAAATTTTAGAAACCGTGTTTATTACTAACCCTCAGTGTGTGTCCAGCATCTGCACATCTTCCATCTTAACTCTAATCGGACAGCCTTCCAGATAAGCACCTCTCAAAGAGCTCCTCACAGGGCCTTTTCACTCTCTAGCACCCTAATCAGGACAGCAGCACCCCAGCATCAGTGGATCGTCCCCAGGGTGCAGAGGGGAGTCAGCCATGGTCACCACATAACAGTTGGCAGTGTAGGCCAACAGGACTCACTCTGGGAGACTCAGAGACGTCCTCTACCTTGGCTCTGCAGCCGGGTCACATAGTGGTATCTGGTCACTTACTTTTTGTGCATATTTTATTTCCATTTTGCTTTTTAAGCAGTTATACCATTGAAGTTAGCATGGTTTTTAATCTAAACTTTTAGTGACTAAAATCAAAACCAGTTAGAGTTTCAGAAAGTAGATTTCCCACTGTATTTTTTTTTCTTGCTGGTAAATTTCTACTTCATTTTCTTAAAATTTAACTATTAAGAGTTTATTGTATCTGAGAGTCTGCCTCCTAAGTCTATCTGTGATGGCATTCTGCCAGTAAAAATTTAGTTACCAATCAGTAAAATAGTGTTTTCTAAACAGTAGTGGCTAAGGACAAAGAGAAATACGCTTAGAAATTTTTCATAGAATTAAATTTCATTTACACTCTTTCTCTGAGGTCCACAAGTTTGTAACAACTGTTTTCTGCACAGAGAAGATTGATGACTTTGTTCTATTTACTGTGGCCTGAGAGGCTACAATCTAGTTTTTTAATCAGTGAAAGTTGGCCATAGTTTAGCTCCAGCTGTCAACTTGACAGCCTAGGGAGTCTCATATTTGAGACACATCTGTGGGAGTCTCGTGAGGGATTGCCCAGATCGAATTGACCTGTGGTTATGTCTGTGGGGAATTGTTTTGTTCTTGATTGATATTTGAGAACGTAACCCACTGAGTGGTGCCATCTCTGGGCAGGTGGTCCTGGGCTGTATAAGAAAGGTAGCTGAGCGTGAGCCTGTGAGCAAGCCAGCAAACATTCCTCCACAGATTCCTCTTGGAGTTCCTGCTCATTCCTACCTTGACTTCCCTCAGTAATGGGCTGTGGCCTGTAATTACAAGCTAGGCAAACCCTTTCCTCCTCGGCCTGCTTTTGGTCAGATGTTTTATCACAGCAACCAAAAGGAAAGTAGAACAAAGTTGAATAACTTTATTTGTAAATTAGCCTCAATATATAGGGTTTTTTTTCCTTTTTAATTTTTTTGATACAGGGTTCATAAACTGTAGCTCACACTGACCTGGAACTCATGGCAGTCCTCCTGTCTTAGCCTCCAGAGTGCTGAGATTTTAGGTGTGAGCCAACACAACCTGCCTGGTTTTTAAAATTATTAACACAAGTCTTCATTTGCACAAAGAACAGCTAAGTCGAGTGTCAGCTGATTACAAATCTCATTTGTTTTCTCAAGCATTCCTGTTTCTGTGTTTGGAGACATGGTTCCTTTGTCAGTCTCCATAGTTGGTTTTCCATTAATCTGTGACAGCCTGTAAATTCTGTTATGATGAGGCAGTTGTAGTTGATTTTTATCTGATTATGAAGGAAGGCCAGACAAAACTCTCAGAAAGAATTTCTCTGAGATCTTGAATTTTTTTTTTTTCTTTGTCTTTTTGAGACAGGGTCTCCCCATAGCTCCAGCTGTCCTGGAACTCACTGTGTAGACCAGGCTGGCCTCGAACTCAGAGAGATCTTCCTGCCTCTGCCTCCCGAGTGCTGGGATTAAAGGCGTGCGCCACCACGCCCGGCAGAGCTTGAGTTTTTTAAGCAAGTTATGACCTACTCATTGGTGAGTGCATCTCCACATGCAGCACAGCTGTAAAATACAAAGTGAGATTCGTTATGCCCTTCCAGAAAGTCTTGGGTGATAAGTGATTTACCATGAAATATTGCTTAACTGCCTAAATTTCCACTTATCTTCACAGAGTAAAGATGATTCCTGATTCATTGTATAAAATTTTTCTGAATTTTTCTCTCGTGTAGCTGTTAGTAGTACAAGTCAAATGCAGAAAGTTGAACAGAGAATTCAGCATAAATAGAGAAACGAATATAAAATCTTCAACTTTAGAAAAGTCAGATAATTTGTAATGTTTCTGTGCATGAGAATTTTTTTTATTTTATTATTTCTGAGAGAGAGAGAGAGAGAGAGAGAGAGCGCACATACACCTACCATGGCATGTGTGTGGTCAGAGAAAGACCGCAGGAGTCAAACTTTTATTACCTCTTCCTATTTGTCTTGTAAAGTACTTCATCTGTTTTGTTTTTAATTGCTTGGAACAAACATAACTCTTCTCCTTTGGATAAAACATTTTTATTTATTATTTTTATTTTATGTGTATGAGCGTATTGCCTGCCTGTATGAAAGTGCACTTGTGTCGTGCAGTGCCTGTGGAGTTCAGAAGATGGTATCAGATCCCCTGGAACTGGAGTTATGGATGGTTGTTAGCCACCATGTGGGTGCTGGGAACCTAACCCGGGTCCTCTGCAAGAACAGCCAGTGTTCTTAACTGCTGAGCCATCTCTCCAACGCTGGGTAAAGCATTTTTACAGAATTGAGTCTATGCCAGTTATTCTTTAGAGATATTTATGGCTTAGATTTCTAAACGAACAAACTCAAGCCTACTTGAATCAAGACATAAAGGTAAATTTTGAGCCACTTTTTAAAAAAACTCTAATAGTGTTCAGGAAGTATCTTCAGTTCCCCTGAGTATATCATGCATTTCTAAAGTTCCTGGCCAGTGCAAGTACCAGAGAACAATGAAATAGGTGCCGTCTAACCTTTACCTGCCGGAGATGCCTTAAGAGGTTTTTACTTACTAATGTAGAGAAAGGGAGAAAATTGCATATTTTTTTGTCTGAGAAAAGTAGCATTTTCCTTGGTATTAGTCTGTGTTAGTAACTATAAGATGCTTTATGACCTAAGAAAATAAAAATCCTTGTGCAATACTAATATTAGCCATAATCTTTTGGATAATCAGATTTAATGTTACTTTTGTTGTATGAAGTCTCCAAGATACAACGCTATTCTTTCTAGAAGATCCTGTATAGTTCACAAAGGGAACGTCAGCTCAAAATGGGCAGAGTGCAGTCACACTGGGGTGCACTTGAAATTGGCACAGTGCCCCTTAGTGAGTCTTTGCTAACCACCTGTTCTCATGTCCAGAAAAGCAGCAGCAGCAAGCCTTAGCCGAGTGAAATGGAACAGCAGTATTTCTCCTCCCAAGGCCTGTAACATGTGACGAGGCTGTCTTCTGACAACACCAGTCTCACACATTTCATGCTCTGTAAGAAGACAGTGCAGTATGGCATTGGAAATTGGGAATTTGCCACAGGCAAAATAAAAATGACCAACAAAATTGTGTATGGATCACTATCCCTGTTTTCAAAGTGCACAAATATGATGGAATTCATTAAATGACGGAAATCTGGTAGATCATTTAATCTGACGCTTTTTCACAAACTTTAAAAGCTACTAAATAACTAAATACAGTGGGTTCTTATCTGATTAAAACAAGAACTTATTACTAAGACTAAATATTTTACTAATATTAAAAAGCAAACATCAGCCAGGTGTGGTGGCGCACGCTTTTAATCCCAGCACTCAGAAGGCAGAGGCAGGCGGATCTCTGTGAGTTCAAGGCCAGCCTGGTCTACATCGTGAGTTCCAGAACAGCTGGGGCTACAGGGAGACCCTGTCTCAAAAAGACAAAAAAAAAAAAAAGCAAACACCAATGATACAAAAAGCCAAATATACTTTTCTATTAAAACTTGAATAAATGTACACACATTAAAAGATTAAAAGGTGCTTTTATAGAGAATTGTCTTTCTCTATGGAAACTTTCAATGCTAAGTCTATTTACATTGGTGACATCTTAATTATGCACATGGTCTTAGAATGTGTTTAACTGAAACATAATAAGCCTGTTTAACTGTGATTAAACTGTTTAGTGTTTAAATTGTTCTGTCAGCAGAGAGGAACTCTCCTTTGTTACTCTAGTATTTAACAGAACACTAATCTCTTCCACAGAATCTGCCTGTTACCCGTATTTTAGACAACCTCATGGAGATGAAGTCAAACCCTGTAAGTAGCATTTTACACTGAGTGTGTTAACCCTGAATGTATCACACTGAGGTGGGAGGTGGTGAAATCAGGTCAACTCTTGTGCTCTTAATCACTGCAGAGTGTGTGAGAGAAAAGAGTCCATGTCTCAGTGGCATTTTCTAGCCATCATCAAAGATACATGGAATTCTTGGCTGTTACAACCATTCTGACCAGCTCTCACCTAAATTACACACTATATCCTTTATGTATAATTAAGTGTAAAATACGTCCTAAGGAGCACATTTCTATAAATGAAAAAGAACTAGTCAGCCTCAGTTTGTATAGTACAGGGAAAAACAGCTTATAAAAACAATCAGAGTTGGGCTGGAGAAGCAGCAGAGGACCCGGGTGCAGTTCCCAGCTCCTACAAGATGGCTAGCAACTGTCTGTAACTCCAGTTCCAGGGAATCCAACACCCTCTTCTGACCTTCATGGGCATTGCACAACATGGGTGCACTTACACACATGCAGGCAATACACTCATACACATAAAAAATAATAATAATAATAATAAATAGTTTTTAGAATGACCTTTTATAGCGTATGTATTCTGTAAAGTTATGGACATATAAAGACAAAATTATAAACAGAAAGCCTTGAGCATTAAAAGTAGATGCCTGGATGGGTTCTAGTCCTTCACTTTCTGTCTTTATTACTAAATATGTAGCCTTAGCAAAGTCATATAATCTCTTACTATCCTGATTTTCCCATCTTAAAAAATGGGGATAATAGTGACACCTATAACCTGAGGATTGAGTCATTTCATGTGAAGCACTTATAAAGCTCGTTAATTAGAACATAGTAGCTTTTCATCAAAGGCCCAGGGTGGCTGTTAGCTAGACCACAAATTGGTAGATTCATTAAAATAATACATACTTTACTAAGCTGCAACCTTTGGAACAGAAATTCTGCAGTCATGATAAAGTGGGTTTTTGGTGTGTTTATGTTTTTAATAGGAAACTGATGACTACAGATACTTTGATCCCAAAATGCTGAGGGGCAATGACAGGTAAGTGTTTTTTGTCTGATATTGTTTGTTGTGGGGTTTCCCCCTGCGAATGAAAATAATGTTAGATTATTAATCACAGCTTGTTATGAAATTCCAAGCTTTGGGAACCAGTAAGGGAATAGTATAAATTATAATCTCATTATTCAGAGATTATCACGAGAAATTATATGTAGTATCTTACTTTTTCTTCATAAGTGTGTACACAGAAATACATTTAGCTGTTTACTGTTTATGAAATGATGGTATTACAAACTAAGTAGGGGAAGAAATTTTGGATAACATGTTTTTAAATGAATATAATTATTGAACCAAATGAAAAGAAGCCCTAAACTGGAAAAAGTTGTCTGGTTGGTCGTTCTTACATAAAGGTCATGTCCCTGAGGACCATCCCGTCAAAGCATTCTTTGGCAGTGAAGAGACTGTGTATATCATTTTGTATTGTGTGAAAGCGTGATGTGGTAACTCACCGTGGACATTGCTTTTCAAGTGTTGATTCATGGGGTGTGGAGAATGACCTAGAGAGAGTGAGGGTAGCTGGGAAGAAGTAGCCTTATGTCTCTTAACACTGAGACTTGGGAGGGCTAGCTTCTTGCCTGTCCCCAATGGTGAGCTCTTTTGAACTTTGTATTTACCCTCCCCCAACCTGTCACATCTTTGTAGGTACTCACTGCAGGTGATCTAGTTGCTAGACTCTTAAAGTGTTCGGTAATTTAAAGTGTTCTCTTTTTCTGGATTTACCAGAAATGCTATAACATAGGAATCTGCTAACAGCCATCATTGGCAAGAGGAACTAGAGTTATAGAAAGAGGATGAGGACTGACCGCCATGGGCAGGGGCTTCTTATAGGGAATGTTGACATTCAAGTTGTGGTTGTACACACACTAAGCCTCCATTCTGTGCTTCTGTAGAGAGGAGTCAACACTGTCTGTGTTTGTACTTCTGCCTCGAGCTTGGCCAACAGTAGACGTAGACGCTGAGAGACCAGGGCGGCATCTGCGTGCTGATGAGCAGTGTCAGCAGTGGTGTGGCAAACAAGCCTGAGTGTTGTTTTAACAGAGTCGTCTCCTGAGCTAGCCCGTCACAGATCTTGGTGTTTAATCATGAGTGATGCTGTGCTGTTTAAGCCTCAAGTCTCTTCACCTCCTGTCTAATCGCAGAAGTTAAAATTCTAGTGTTAAACACTGGCAAGACATTTTGATCACGTGAACATCTAGCCTTTTCTATGGAATGTGGAATATTTTAACAGACCGTAGAAGTGAGAAAAGATGGTGGAGCTGTGATGCCCCAGAACGTCAGGGCCTTCCTCTGAGGACATCTACACTATAAACCACACTGTAGAGCCTAATTTTTAAAATATTTTATTTATTATTTTTATGTTATGTGTCTGAGTGTATTGCCTGCATGTATGTGAGTGCACCCGTGCCGTGCAATGCCACAGAGGTCAGAAGAGGGCTTCAGATTCCCCTGGAACTGGAGTTAAGGATAATTCGTAGACACCCTGTGGGTGCTGGGAATGGAACCCGTGTCCTCTGCAAGAGCAGTCAGTGCTCTTAACTGCTGAGCCATCTCTCCAGCCCCTAGCCTAATATTTTAGCATTCAATATAAATCTGACACGTGGAAAATGCCTTCATTAAAGATCTCTTGGGGGGCTGGAGAGATAGCTCAGTGATTAAGAGCACTGACTGATCTTGCAGAGGACCCAGGTTCCATTCCCAGCTCCCACATGACGACTAACAACCACCTGTAACTCCCAATTCCAAGGCATCCTATGACCTTGTCTGACCTCTGTGGACACTGCACAACACGGGTACACTTATATACATACAGCCAATATACTCGTACACATAAAATTAAAATAATAAATATTTTTTAAAAGATCTCTTGGACACTGATGAAATATTTTTTAAATATATGGGTGTAATAAGTGACAAGCTACACAAAATACAGATCTCTCCTCCCATTTCCTAGTCATTCCTGATAAGTGTTTATTCAGTTTTTCTGCAATGGAAATACCCAAGCAATGTAATTCTTTGAATGTGGTGGAAAGTGCATCACATCCGATACCTGCTCTGTTGCTTGTCTTATGCTCTAGTCGTGCTTAAAGAGCTATTGCTCCATCTTCTGGAATTTTACATCAAAATCAGTAGGTTGTCCTGTTACTGTTTAGACAATGAGATCACTGCCTCTTCTAGCTGCTTCTTCCACAAAGCTGAAGAATCCACTACTTAGGAAGGCGGGCCTGTAGTTCCCTGCCTGATAGTGCTCACAAGTGCCATGCGTTTCCTGTGCCCGTTTACTGTGATGAAGCCAAGGATGGAGTGCTCAGTGCAGTTTCTCTTTATTGCAGCTCAGTTCCTAGGAACAAAAACCCATTCCAAGAGGTAAGTTCATATAAAAATGTTCTGCTCCTGAAAAGAAAGATAAGGTAGCCCAGAGCCTTGAAGAGGGGCATTTGTCATACAGCAGCTTTATTATGATCAGTCAGTGGCAGTTGATAAATTCAGTTCTGGATGCCCTTGTTACTATTTTTAAAATCCTCAAAAACTCTGAGCTTCTAGTTTATAAAGCTGTGTGCACTTAATTTAAACTTAAGAATGACAAAATAGGGTCTGGAGAGATGGCTCAGCGATGAGAGCACTGGCTCTTCTTGCAGAGGACCCAGCTTCCATTCTCAGCACCCATATGACAGCTAACAACTGCCAGTAACTTCCCAGGGGAATCCGACGCCCTCCTCTGACCTCCACTGGTGTTGCATGATACAGGTGCACTTACATACATGCAGGCAATACACTCATGCACAGAAAATAATAAAATATTTTTTAATAACAAATAGCAGAAAAAGGAATCTTTCAGATTGAAATGAGAATTTTGTGTGTGGAGTTTCTACAATGATTCCAAACATTTGTGAGGCTATTGTAACTATATGTTATTTTAAATACAAACACTTCTCATTGTAAGTAGACAACATGTTGGAATTGTATGCCAGGCTTTCTAATTTTCCTGCTTACAGTAAATAACTAAAAATCCAAAATGATCCTTTAGAAAAAAAATGTTTGCTTTTATTTGCTATTACGTAATTGAATAATAGTTATTTTCCTAGAAGTTATTTCTGAAAATAGTATTGCCATTCAGTTGGCAGTAATATTCATAAATCTACAGACTTCAGTGGCACCAGGTGCTTAGAATGTAGCCTTTAGTTAACTGGTGTTTTTACTTCAGTTATAGAATGGCTTCCAAACTAAACACTGTGTTGCTTGAAAATTAAAATGGGGGTTGGAGAGATGGCTCAGTGGTTAAGAGCACTGACTGCTCTTGCAGAGGACCCAGGTTCGATTCCCAGCACCCACATGGTGGCTATGAACCATCCTTAACTCCAGTTCCAGGGGCCCTCTTCTGACCTTCGTGGCATTGCACGACACGGGTGCACTCACGTACATGCAGGCAATACACTCATACACATAAAATAAAAATATTTTTTAATGTCTTTAAAGAAAATTAAAAGGGTTCTAACTATTTTTTCAACTTTTTCCTCATTTGCATTTTTAGGCGATTGTCTTTGTGGTAGGAGGAGGCAATTATATTGAGTATCAGAATCTTGTTGACTACGTAAAGGTACGGTTCAAGCTGTCACATTCTGTCATTTGATGGTGTCACAGTTTTATGTCAGTGCAATACTAGCATTCTATTGTACCTATCCTGGCCATAACTGCTTTTCTGAGAGGTGGGTTTTTAAGTCTTGAACGTAACTAGACACATGGCATATGCCTGTAGTCCAGGCTACTTAGGGGGCTGAGGCAGGAGGATCACTTGAGCCCAGGAGTTTGAGGCCCATCTGGGCCATATGACAAGACTCCATCTGTTACCAAAATGATAAAAATCAGAATGCTGTGTATAGAGGGATGCCCCGTGCCTGTCTTTCCGTCATGCTCATCTTGCTGCTGTAACTGTACTTGACCTAGGAAATAGTAGAACTTACTGGACATTTGAATCTGCCATTTGGCAGCCGTTTACTATACTTCAGATATTTAGAGGCCTCTAGCACCTCTTCATAGAAATGATTTCTAGAACTCATTTATCTGAATAACCTGCACTTCACTTCAACACTGCAACATACTCTTGAAACGCTTTCAGGGTAACAGCAGAATCTCACTCCAAGCAAAGAATGACAGAACTAAAACCACACAAAGCAAGCACCCTAATGTAAAGGGGGGAAAAATTTTAACCCAGGGGCAGCAGAATTGGCAATTATTAGAATACAGTGACATTTACCATCATTAATTCATTTATCATTAAGGTAGGCTTGATCGTTCTTACGTCCTCATACTATGTAACAGGGAAAAGCCGTGGCAGATGTCACAGGGCTCTAACACTAATAAGCACACTCCCAGAGTCCTCGCTTGGTTGGACAGGATATGTTTCATAATCAAATCATGCACCACCAGTGTATATGTAAGAATCATGTCAGAGGTCAGAGAGGTTCCAGTCTTGCACAAGGAAGAGGTTATTTTGGTTTTGCTTTTGTTTTTTTGAGACAGGGTCTCCCTGTAGCCCCAGCTGGCCTGAAACTCACTATGTAGATCAGATTGGCCTTGAACTCACAGAGATCTGCCTGTCTCTGCCTCCTGAGTGCTGGGATTAAAGGCATGAGCCACCATGCCCAGCTTCCATTGTAATTTTTTTTATTTTTTATTTTTATTTTTTGGTCTTTTTGAGACAGGGTCTCCCTGTAGCTCCAGCTGTCCTGGAACTCACTTTGTAGACCAGGCTGGCCTTGAACTCAGAGATCCGCCTGCCTCTGCCTCCCAAGTCCTGGGATTAAAGGCGTGTGCCACCAGGCCTGGAGAGGTATATATATATATATATATATATATATATATACACACACATATAAGAACAGGTTTGCAATATAGTGTTTGGTAAGCTGTTTCTTGAAAATTATACTAGTAATTCATTAAATACCAATGATTATTATTCTGATAGTCATTCTTATTTTTCTGTTACATAAATGTTAAAAAAAAATGGAGACACATGATGCTGAATAATTCAGGACCAAGCTGGAGGAGGAGGAAGGGTACTATGAGTAGCAGGTTTGCCTCAGCAGGCCCGTCATACTGACATTTGAATCTAGTTCTGTGCTAGGGTCCAAAAGATCAGGAGACAGCCTGCGCTAGTTTGCAGGGGACAGCCTACGCCAGTTCGCAGGGGCAGCCCACGCTAGTTTGCTCGTGGTATTTAGTAGAAACTGTAAAGATGGATGGTTTGCAACTGATTTCTGTGACTTTTCTGCTATTGGAACAGACATGAAGCCCGATTTTCCCTGCATGATCAGAGAGAGAAATTATTTCTCCATAAATAAGCCTGGGGTTCTCTTTAGTCTAGTGTGTCTAAAACATATCTCGGTGGCTTACCACTGAAGAGGAAATGTATTCTGTACTTCTGGAAGACAGATATGTTGGGACGTTGTCTTAGAAGTCTTAGACCCCTCTAATGTCACCCTCTGCTGTCTTTGCCCTGCTGTGCATTTACTTTACCTTGACCTTTACTGATGGCTCTTATGTGCAGACCCATATGGCCTCAGGAGCCCCAGGTGCATGACCCTGTGTAATCACTGTATAGCCATCCCAGTTTTTTAAATGTACTAAGCTGTTGCTCTTGTTTTATTTCTTCTCAGATGGGCCACCCAGGACTGTTGTTTGTTTGGACTTGTTTAGACAAGGGTTCCTGCTATAGCTCAGGCTGGACTAGAACTCACGGTACTCACCCTTCCTCGGCCTCATATGAGCATCACGTCCAGCTTTTAGGACGTTTGTTCAGTTTACTGATTTCAGAACATTACCTTCCCTGTGCTACAGCACCATCATTCTTGTTTCTTGGTGGATTACCCAATTCACTTGTGACATAAACTTTGGATATTGTAAAAAGGAATCCTGACTCACCTTATAGTTGATGATATAAGTAAATGGATGTCAGCAGAAAGAACTTAGCTAGTCAGCTCTGTGGTTTATATACTAAGGCAGGATTGTCGAGAGTTCAAGGCCAGCCTGGGCTACATATATAGTGAGATCTGTCTTAAAAAACCCAGAAAGTAAATAATAAAAGATTCCCTAAATCCTCTAGTAGAAAACTTTTGTGTTTATATCCTAACATCCTGTCACGTTCTGAAGTGAAAGCAGAACAGACTGTGTTAGCGTTAACACTGTTACAGCCCCACGTGGACTGAAGTGTCAGCATTAACACTGTTACAGCCCCACGTAGACCGAAGTGTCAGCGTTAACACTGTTACAGCCCCCAGTAGACCGAAGTGTTAGCGTTAACACTGTTACAGCCCCACGTGGACTAAAGTATCAGCGTTAACACTGTTACAGCCCCCAGTAGACCGAAGTGTTAGCGTTAACACTGTTACAGCCCCACGTGGA